CTCAAGAAGTGTTAGGGTTTTCTTTTTCTCTCTAGTATCCTAGTAATCTGTGTGACAGCAACATTTAAGCTTATTTTCATTAAAAGTGCCTCCTATTTTTCCTCCAGTCAAATGCAGAGATTCTTATTCCAAGAGCGTCATGGGTATCTGCTGACCCCCAGAGAATTCTGAATTTTCTCAGTGTGCAGGGCGGTGCTGTAATAAGGGACAATAGAACGGCATCGAATTGTGTTCACTGGTTAAGTGTTAGGTATGCTCTGTTCTCAAGGTGGCTGGGCTGAATTCACTAATTCATTCAACACAGATTTCCGAAGGGCTGGCCGTGCGCCAGGCACGGTACTAGGTGTGGCTTGTGGCAGAAATCAAAGCCCTCCTCTCATGGAGCTGATTAGGGAATCAAACAGTAAACGTATAACATTTCTATGTGAAATGAGGATGAGTGTGATGGAGGGAAACACAGCGTTAAGAGGAGAGGGTGTGCTGGAGAAGGCTGGGTGGGGGAGTAGGAAGCGGGGAGAGACTGAGTCTCTGCTTGGCAAGCCACAGGATGAGTGACTGCGGGCAGTGCAGGGTCCTGTGCATCTTGCACAGGTCACACACCCATGAACCAGCCCTGACTTTGGGCAAGCTTGCAGGCTTTTCTCTGCTTTGATTTTTAAATGGGAAGAGACTGGGAAATATTGGCACATTGGATGAAGGGTATTGGATCTAAAGCTGTTTGCCCCCAAGCACCTTGTACCGAGCTGTTTTTCTAGGCTTCGGGGAATCCTGGATGGGAGTGCATGTGTGGTGTATACGGGGTGTGTGATATGTATGGAGTGTGTGTGAGAGATTGCTTGTGCATGCATGTGCGTATGTGGTAGATATGGGGGGCGGGTGCTTGTGTTTGTGTTTCCACTGGGAAGTGTGTGCACAGTATCATATTTTCCAAAAAGGTGCATGACCACTTCTAAAGGGTTAGGAACCATTTACTTAAAGAAATGGAACCAGAAATTTCACTTCCCCATAGGGAAGCAATACTATTAATTTCTACCACGTGCGTGTCTCCTACTGTACAACATGTTCATATTTCATTTCATCTGTGCCCAGAGAAACCACTAGGCTAGACAGAGCAGGACTTTGACAGCAGTTTTTCTCCCTGATTCTAAAACCCGGGTTCCTAAATGTCCTCGCCATCGGAGGGCATCACTGTTTACCTTTTCCATCTCTGCCGTGTTCCTGAAAGCAGCGAATCAAGGGCAGAACCTCAGTTTGACCTTAAACTATTCAGCTCCACTTAATTACCTATTGTGGTGGAAGGCACATAAATACAGGATGTGCCTTTGCTCCGCCATTCTGCTTTGCATCATTATCAAAAAGGCAAATGTAATTCATGTCCAATTACTCACTCACCGCAAGGTCAGAATATTTATTTTTATCTTACTTGCGATGTTTAGGGTTAGTGATATCAGTATTTATTCACGGCTAACCTAAATCAAACATCCTGTTGATATCTATAAAGGGCTGTATAGTTATTGTCGCAGGTATGCTGAGTCACAGAGCACATACAAAGTTTATGAGTTGACAGGGAAAAGGCTGCAGGGAGGGGAGATAAGTGTGCAAGTGGCTTGCGAAATAGCCACATTGTTTATTTATATTGTCCATTTATTGAACTTGATAGGTGCTTGGGAAACCGAAGCCAGTTAGAAACAAAATAGTGAGGATTGTTTTTTCTAATTATTATTATTATTGTTTTTAAACGTGATACCGGTGGTAACTTTTTGGTTAAATTCATCGAAGGCTCCTTCTAGAAATTGTTTTCTCCTTCTAATGGAATAGAGCTTTGACCAGCTAGAGAAAGACGAGGAAAGACGTAGGAGAGATGGCGAAATACAGGGGACTCATGTGACCAGGATTAATTTACTCACAGATCCAGAGTAGCAACTGCTGCTGTCTGTCCAAAATTCCTGTGGTCAATTAATGAGATTAATTTGAAGAGGCTCTATCGAAAGGGAGGACCCAAATGCTTAGAAGTCACAGTATTCGATTGATCCATTCCTTTTCCCGTTCAGATCCGCCCAGTCAAACATATTTTGTTGTCTTTGGCCACTGATATCAAAACATATTAGCTAATTTCCTGAGCTTTTTGTCAATTCTCTGCCTTTGCAGACCTCACTCTTGTAGGTTGTACCCGGCAGTCCATCTTTATTTTCTTGCCCTATCTCCATCTACCTACAGTAACAGAATATTTATATATAAATATATATATATATATTTTTTTTTTTTCCTTAACCCATACCATTGTTTCCCTTGGTGTCCTAGGATCGATCAGCAGTCTGGGAATCAATCTTCCAGATGAAATCTTACTATGAGTTAGTAGCTGTGAAATGTGGGCAAATATTTTACCTCTGAGCCTTGGTTTTGGTCTATAAAAGGAGGATGTGAAATCAAATAGTTTCTTTGGTCCCTTCCTATTATATCTGTCTATATTTCTATAATTTTCTATCTAGTTACTCTAAGGCACGTGGTCATTAGTAATGGGGCAGCTGACTCTCAGCTTAATCAGACAAGCCAAGCTGGGGAATTTGTGAATGATTTTAGAGTCTCTGGCCAATAATAAGTGAAATATGAGTCATTGATGTGATATAGTCTCCAGAAAGGTAAATTTGATGTTTGAATACATTGAAATATATTCGATTTTAGAATATGAAATTTCCATTTGGGTGAATCAAGCATGGTTGAATAAAGGCAACTTCATAAGGTTCATAGTCTATGGACTGAGATAGAGGCAGGAAAATCTGGTTTCCTCTATTCTGCTCAGCTCACACCAAAAAGAGGTAAAAGAACAAAAAGAGAAACACACTCAGAAGACGGAGAAAGTGTTGGGAGGGAATTGAAAGGATGTCCGAGGGAATGGGGAAAAATAAAGGAGTTGTTTCATTTAGATATGTTAGTAGCCTTCTAATGTTGGCAAAGTTGTACAAAAGACAAAATATTTCTGCATATATATATATGTGTATATACACATATGTATATATAAAATGAAAAATTAAGATCATGACTAGAAAGCTCAGGAAGACTCAGATTCATGTAAGGAAACACTTTGGGGCAGAGCTGTCCAAAATTTGAATGTGCCATGTCAGCTGGTTGTGAAAGTGCCCTCACTGGGTAGTTTAAATCCAGGACAATCACGGCCATTCCAGCAGCACAGGATGGTGGGGATAGTCGTATAGCCCAGTGGCATCAGCTCGGGGGAGGTTTGCCATCCAGGGGACACTTGGCAATGCCTGGAGATATCTCGTTGCTGCAAGTCTGGGTGTGAGTGGGCTGGTACCACTGGCATCTGGTAGGTAGAAGCCAGGGATTCGCTAAACATCCTGTAGTGCACAGGACAGCCCTCCACTGGCAAAGAATTATCTGGTCCAAAGTGTGCCAAGGTCAAGAAACCCTAGTCTACAGAATTTGATAATGATGCTTAGTTCCTGACATCTCCACGGGTGGGAGAAAAAAATAAAATGTATCTATCAGAAAAATGATTGTAGAGGCAATTGTTTGAAATGACATGTTAAAAAGAATACTAATGACAATGCAGAGGAACAATTATGAAAACACATATCTACATTGAAAATACGATTTTAAAATACTGGTTTGAGAGTGGTTATCTCTGATTAGCGGGATTATTCATACTCTGGTTTTCTTTGGTTTGTTTGTTTGCTTATTTTTCTCTATTTTCCCAGTAGTTATAAAGTATAAGTAGTGCTTTTAAATTTAGAGGCAAAAAAAAAATCTTGTTGAATTTTGAAAACCTGTTATGCCCCTGAGGACCTAAATGGCACATGGTAATAATAACAGTAATGGCAACTTCGATTTAGCTGGCGAGCGCATGTGGAGATAGGCCAGGTTATTCGCTCCCAGTCAGAATGTAAATTGTTATAACCCCTTTGGAAGACAATTTGGCAATATTACTATAGAGCCTTAAAAATATTCATAGCCTATGACCCAGCCATTCTATTTCTGGGAAGCTAGCCTAAGGAAATAATCAAAAATAGGCACAAAGATTTATGCACAAAGATGTTCATTTAAGCATGATTTATAATAGTCTAAAATTCAATTTATAATAGCTACAAATTGGAAACAGCCTAAATGAATAGAAATAGGTGAATTATTAACTAAATTATAATAAATCCATTTGATGTAGTACATAGCCATTGAAAATAATGTTTACAGTGACTGTGTGACAATGTGGGAAAATACTTAGGATACACAGCTAACTTTAAAATAATAAGGATCCAAAATACATTAAGAGGATAACTCCCAAATGTGAGTATACCAAGGAATAAAAATGTTTGAAAGGAAATATGTTAAAATGTCAACAAAACGTACAAAAATATTAGAATGTGGGATACAAGTGGCTTTTCTTTCTTTTCTTCTTCTTTTTTTTCTTTTTTTTAAACTAGGCTTCACGTCCATTGCAGAGCCCAACATGGGGCTTGAACTCAGGACCCTGAGATTAAGACCTGACCTGAGATCAAGAGTCAGATGTTTAACCTCCTGAGCCACCCAGGTGCCCCTATTTTCTTCCTTTTTTAGTATATCTATGCCATTTCCAAACTGTATATAATGAAAAGTATAACAGTTATAACCAGATAAAAACACTGGTAAGATTTATCAGGTGCCAAATCTGAGTCTATTGCAGATGTTCATTTAAGGACCATCATCTCATTTAGCGTTATAACTACTTTCAAGGTAGGTACATCATGCCCATTTCACAGATGAGAACACTGAGGTGGATCCTCTTCATCCTCCATGTCTTATCTTAGACAGTGTTTCCTCTAAGAAGCCCTCCTTGACTTTCTGAGTCTGGTTAAATTTTTTTGAGTTCCCATTGTTCCCATTGTCTTTCTGGGCGTTTGGGGGGATTTTTTGGTGGCGGGAGGGGGTTGGTGCAGGCAGTGCCTAGCAAGTATAGAACACAAAGTATTTGTGGACTGAATGAATGGACAAAGAAATGAATAACTCACCCAAGCTGGTGAGCGGTAGGATTGGCCAGGTCAGCCTAACTTCAAAGTCAGTGTCGTCACAGAATGCTCCAGATGGATTGTGGCGAAAACCAAAGTTCATTTCTCAGCACCTTTCCCAAGGTTCAGAACTTATTGTTGAAACAGAATGGAGCCTGGCCTGGAAGTTATACATTTATCCAGCTCTAAAGGCCTGAGTGCCTTCAAAGGGCAGCATGGATTTTTCTCTGCAAATCATGAGCATTTCCGCAATGCTTAACATGGCAGCTGGTAATGATTATTTTTCCAGTTTCCCTTTGAAATTTCATGTTTGTTTACTTAACAGGGCATTACTAATCTGGAGGAAGGGAGTGGGTGAAAAACCCCATTTGTAAAGAGGATAACAGGTTAATGAAAAGAAGCAGAGATAGGTGTAGGTGATAGTGTTTCTACAAGGCTCTGTTCAACCAGGATGATTTAAGGCCAAACCTTGGCTGGCTTCATAATAAGAGCCAGATTATGGAGGGGATTTACGTGGCAATTACCATGGTCCTTGCTAGTGGGTTACAATGTTTTAGGGCTCCCTAGATACTTAAGATTAATGTCTGAATCAGTAATGTTATTGTTGCAAGATCTCAGTATGATGGGGAGCCATTTGAGACAGGAATTTTTATCCCTTATCAGAACATAAAATATCTCATAGTCTGCAAGAACACCAATGCCTATGGCCTGTCGCTGCCCTCAATATAGGTTAAGCATCACGTGGGACTGGGTTTTTTTTCCTTGGCAGCTAAAATGCATAAATCAGTGTAGAGCTACTTTTGCTCATCCAGGTAATATGATTAAAATGGGAATTAGACATGTTCAGTCATTCAGAGATGAGAGACTAAAATCCCCAACCTGAACAAGGCAAATGATTATAGAGAATCTACTGTGTAAATGGTAGGTCAGGACTGCAGTTAAGGACTTTTCCATGTACCCCAGAGAGAGCAGATCCACAGCATTCTCTGCAAACACACCATGCTTTTATCTTAGTGTATTAATTGCCAATGGGATCTGAAACCCAAAGGAGTTTGAGAGAATTGATGGGTTAAGTGGTAAATATACACCTGACCAAGATGAATTTGGTGAATCAGCAATTCCCAGGAATCACATTGTGAGAGCACTAAGAGAACTAATTGATTTCTCTATTAGTATGTTTCCTCAAACCTTGATATCTGTTGAGGGGAAAAGGTGCGGTGAAGAAGGAGCAAAGTTGGGGTGCCTGGGTGGCGCAGTCGGTTAAGCGTCCGACTTCAGCCAGGTCACTATCTCGCGGTCCGTGAGTCCGAGCCCCGCGTCAGGCTCTGGGCTGATGGCTCAGAGCCTGGAGCCTGTTTCCGATTCTGTGTCTCCCTCTCTCTCTGCCCCTCCCCCGTTCATGCTCTGTCTCTCTCTGTCCCAAAAATAAATAAAAAAGTGGGGAAAAAAAAAAAAAAGAAGGAGCAAAGTCCAAGAAGTTTCCCCCAAGAAAGTGGTCAAAATGAGAAACACTTATTGATAAATCAGTTTGAGACCCAAATCATCCAGTAAATGAGATTAACACCTTAACTTCTCTTCCCCAGAATCCCACAGATTAAATCTTAACACTATCTCAGAGTTAAGTATATTTAGCACTTAACCCATCAGAAATGAGATGAACGTGTCAGCATGGAGAATATGATTGCTTCATGGCTTTCAAACAATCAGATAGAACACTGAGAAAGGGCATTGAAATAAGAAGTCACTTTTGAGGGTAGGGGTGAGACTGGTGTCGAAAGATATGGTATTTGGCCAGGAACTTGTAAATATCTGAATCTCACCAATGTCCATGACCACCCTTTCCCTTTATATCTCTGAGAGAAAGGAAAAGTAATAAGTATTAGCTGAGTTGTTAGCCCCAACCCCCAATGTGAAACTCCAATAAATCAGACAAGACTACACGGAAAATTCCTTTTGTTCCTGGACAAAGTATTGCCAACTAACCCCAAATTAAAGTGGACCAAAACCCTAATCCTCTACTTTTCAGAGATTTTGGACTTTTCCATTTTAAAGGCCATATCCACATTTCCCTAGAAAGATTCTTATCCAATCCCTATGTCTCCACTTCTTTAAAACCACTCAGTTAGCATCCTGAAACTGACTGCCCAAATTAGCCTTCCTCCCCATCTTTGTGCATGTGTATGGAAGGGTAACTTAGAGGAGCAGAAGAACAAAGAGGGGTTTTGAGCTTCTGCTAGAAACCAATATCAGAAATCCAGAAGACAAAGGCCAACACATAAATGACTTAATATCAGCAACTCTCCTTCACTCCCCCATTTATTTATTAATTCATCCATTAAACAAACATTTGCTGGGCACCAAGGATGCTGTCAGGCACCATGTTTTGGTGATGAGGCAAGCATACATCAGGAGTGAGCAGATAACAAGAGTGGAAGCTCCAGGGGAAAGATATGAAGATTATTTTCCAACCTCAGAAAAAGTAAAAGAGCATTGAAGGCTTGCAGACCCCAAAACTTATTCACTTTCTCCAAGTGCAAGAACAGAGAGCAAGATGGAGTTTGGGACAAGAGACACCATCAGTCTGCCAAAGAGTGAATCTAGTGTCTTCAGGGAACTTGTGATATTTGATATTTTCAACACACACACACACACACACACACACACACACACACACATTGTGCCCACATTTACCAACTACATATGGAATCAGAGAGTCTTATTTTCAAATCCTAGATTTGCTTGTTAGTTGTGTGACTTTGGTAACAACTTGGTTACCCTTTCTGGGCAATTAATACCTCAGGGCTGCTGTGAAGACTAAATGAGAACATGTAGAAAGTGTGTCTAGCACCAGGACTGGGGGTGTGAATGCCATCTAATAAATTACGATTTTTCTTCCCTTGTGTCTTCCTTGAAAGCAGAACCAGTCTATTATTTATTTTCTACAATAGACAAGGAACAAAGGGAAGGAGTGAGTCAGGGAAATGAAAGAAAGGAAGGAAGGGAGGGAGGGAGGGAGGAAGGAAGGTAGAAAAGCAACCATAATACAAGCAAGAAGCTAAATTTGCAAGCAGATTTGATGTACTCTCGATACTCTTCCACGATGCTTAGTTCTAGCCTATTCTCGTGAATGCAGTCAACACTTACTCAGTGATGCACTGAAGACCGTGATGTGAAACAAAATGCAAATGGCAACTAGAAGTACCATGCATCATTAACCACCATTATAAAACACTAGCTTCTTTGCATATCCATAAGCCCCCATTTTTGCTGGCCAGACAGGGAAGAGCATTTGGAAGGTATCTAGGCCTCTCCTGTGTCTCGGAATAATAATTACAAAAGCCACCATTTACTGGTCACTTGCTACATATCAGGTGCTTTTATTGTATTTTTCCTTTTATCCTCAAATATCCCAGGGGTGGAGGTATTTCTAGCTTAATTTTCCAGTGAGAAAACTGAGGTTTAGGCACAGTAAGTTCGATGCCTGAAGTTAGTTAGCTAGAAAGTGACAAAGTCCAGATTCCAACCAAGGTCTGTGTGCCTCCAAAACTAACACACATAACCACCACACTGTAGCGTTTGTTACATTTGTAGAAGAAAGGTGGACTTGAACTAAAGGAAATCTAATTCCTGTTCCATTTGGCAAGGAAAGGGTTTTCTGAAGTCAATGGCATTGGAATTGGGTGAGTAAGAATAAGAAGGATACAGCTGGAGGGGAAAGGAAGCCCATAGCAGTGAGGAATACATGGAAAGTCCATGGATCTTACATGCATAAATGCATCAACATTCATGCAGCAACCCCAGAAATGGGAAGATGAAGAAATGCCTCAGTATTTCCCTCATCTTTCAAACGCCCAGTCTGAAAGTTTTAAATATGCATTCGAGTCACTAAAGCACGTAACAGTCAAAGGAGCTTTAGGTCCAAAGACTGAAATACACAGAAGATGAAAGAATGTGGTCTTTACTTGCATGTATCCTCTTTTTTAAACCCCATAACCTCCCAGCAAAGAATTTATTCACTTACAGAGTTAGAGACTGGATCTTGGAGATGGCAAGCCCCTTGCCCAAAGACGTGAAGCTACTAAGGAGAAGAATCCATGATAGAACCCACACGTCTCTAATCTCAAAGGCAAGCAGTGGTCATTGTTCCACATGCTGACCTTGGCCTGGTGTTCTTTCACAAACTTCAACAGTGGATCGAAACCAGAAATTGAGAACATAGGATGCCTCCAGGTAGAAGTGAGTGACTGAAGAACAAGAATAGGAGAGAAATTTCCACGGATGCTTTATGTACCTTTCTGATTTTGGACTGTGTGAATTTAATGCCTTTTCAAAATAATTAAAGTATCAAAATTAATTTTAAAGTGGATTAACATGAGCTTTTAAGTAATAAAAAGAGATCTCGTTATTTCTAAGTTGAAATCCATATTATGGTCAAACTTAAGAAACATGTTGACAAAAACAAGTTCTCGAAGAAAAACATTTATTGAATTTTTTTTTCTGCTCATTTCAATTAAATTCAATAAATACATATTCAGCAACCTCTATTTTCCAATTGGGGAATTATACAACTTCTTTAAATGTTGAGAAGATTATAGGGGAAAACAAATTATGGGTGAAAAAAGTTAATCCTAATTTAGTTTGTCTTTGTTTATAGGTTTATAACCTACTTTGAAATTCTTTTTTGAAATGAGGCAGGAAAAAATAAAAACTAAATAAAAAGGTCAAAAAATAAAGTATTAAAATTCTATCTTTCTTTACCACTAGGAATTATCATTCATAAAGGTAACTTTTTTAACTCACCGTTTTTATCTAATAAAAGTAGAAGCCAGACTTTTCCCTTTACTTGGGAAAATCCCATTTACAACCTGAGTAAATACCACTATGAATGTGAACAGACAATGTAAGCGTGCATTTTCTCTTTCTTTTATTTTTTGTTAATAATAACAACCATAAGGTTAAATGAATACTGTGTGCCTGACACCAGGTTAATATTTTTCACAGGTTGTTATTTAATCCTCAGAACCCCCTGGGAAGCAGATATAATTCGTCCCATTTCAAAGATGAGAAAACTGAGGCTCAGAGAGGACAGTCCTGTAACTAGGAAGAGGTTGAGCTGGGATTTTCACATATTTGACAAAAGACTGTGCTCTCACGTATGACATTTTCTTGCCTTCGAAGGATAAATATAGGTCATAGAATGCTCGGGGAAGACAAGTACTCTGCCCTTTCTAACCAGCACTACCACTCGATAGCAGCTTTCGGTTAAAAATGACCCTCATGGATGGGGATCCACATTCCTAACATGAATTCATACAAAAGCACCCAGATTTCACAAGAGGAAATGATGAGGCATTTTTCTGAGGTGTTGAAATTGTTCTCTTCGTCAGTCACCAATTAAAAAAAGAAAAAAAAAAAAAAACTCTTGAAAATTCCTCAAAGGTAAAAGGTAGCCTTTCTTCTCCTGAAGTTCTGATATGGTCCCAAAAGGAAATAGAAGCTTGCATAACTCAGGCCCCAGTGATTCTTCTTTCATTCTTATTAACTGCAATCTTTGCCACATTCTTCTCTGCTAATTAGTTAAATGCTTAAGCTCCTGAGTCACCGTCGACTGGTTACAGCTTGTTCTAGCTTTTCCACCCTCCAATGGAACTTGCAAAGAATTAGGCACTCCAAAGATCCCACATTCATGTAGCGAAAACAGCCAACAATGGAATCAATCACCGTCGAGAGGGATGGGCAAGCATGAGCATTGAAGGCCCACTAATGCTGAGTCAAGGCCTTCAGATGCATTGCCAATGGGAAGAAGAGAGAAGAGTTGTGTTTATTCATTTTAAACGTATGCATTCTTTCCTCCAAAGATCCGGATTTCACACTGGTCCTCTTGTCCCTGTTACATTCAGGAGCACAGTCATATTTGGCCTGCTTCTTGAGAATGCAGGTGAGCTTTTCTCCAACCGTGATGGAGCCAGACTCGAGGTTAGCTTTCCTGTGTGGTGGCTAATGGAGGATCTGAGATGCCAGAAGTTTGTCAAAGCTGCATGAGAGAATGTCAACCACGCACTCCTTGAGGCGTGACGTGACTTCAGCCATAAGCATATACAGGAGGTGGGAAACTTTTGCCTCCTGTAGAAAAGTCCTGTCTTCAGCATAGATTATTTCACACCACACAACTCAGTGCCATGCAGGGCTCCCAGTATGTGTTCCGTTAACAACTGTCATACAAACCACAGGAAAAAAAGCTTTGAGTAGCAGTCCTAGCCGTATCTTTTGACATAAACTCCTTAGTATAAATACGTAACCTTGCACTCACCGATCAGCTCCAAAACACTTTTCCAAAGCTTACCTCCCCACTTACTCATCAGTGTAGCTACCAGAGTGTCCATTGCTCCCCAGAAGCTGTATTCTCTTGTGCCTAATTTACATTCTCCATCCTTCCCATGCTGCCATTTTCTTCCTAAACCCCCAAACCTGATTGTGTCATGCACACACACACACACACACACACACACACACACACACACACATTGGCCCAGATCTCCATTCTTCTGTGTAGAATGGAGTCCAAACCCGTTAACATGGTATATAAAACCCTTCTCAATCCAACTCTGACCTGTTCGCCAGCATCATCTCCACTCTCCCCTTCTTCATCTTCTCCCTTCCCTGATGTCACCACAAAATCATCCCACATTCCTCACCGATTCTAAAAGATCCCAAGCCCGCGCTCAATACTTTTGTGTGCTGCTACTTCTCCACGAGGGGTGGATTTCCTCTGTATCTACCAGGTAAACTCTTCCTTCCCCTCCATAAGCTAGTTCAAATATGCTGCTCTACGAAGCCCATTCTAAAGGCCCCAGATGAAGTTAGTGATACCCTTTCCTGTGAGCAAAGCGAGAGAAAGCTGCTTTACTCGTGTACATATCTGACTGCATGATAATAGCTCGCCTGCCTACCTCACCATGAGACTGTGTATTTCTAGAAGGCAGGGATCATTTTCTAATTATTTCTGATTCCTCAGTACCTAGCACGATGCGTATCACCTAAGAGTTGCTTAGTACATATTTGTAGATTAAATAACAAGTGCCACAGTCATTTGGCATTTGGTAGGCAATGTTGGCAGTCTTGGAAAGGATCCTTTGTGATCAGGTAGTCAGGCTACCCTGCATTGTCTATTACAAGCCCCATCATCAGCTTTGAGAATGTCCTTCTCTCCCTGTGAACATATTGGTCTGGCAGAGACAGTGAGAACATAGGGCGCATAAAACAGGAGGTGTTAGCTCCAGGATTCACTGGCACCTTACATGTGCTCAGGACAGTAGAGGATGTTAATGGTATGCTATTATGAGCTGAAGTGATCACCTGGCTTCCTGTGCACGGTAGATCTAAGAAAAGTGCTCTGCAAATCATATGTCCTCACTAAAGATCAAGGAGAATGAACTCCATAAATCAAAACTATAGAATATCAAGGCCAAAGGACCCCAATATCAACCATCCTATTGTAGAAACAAGAAAATTGAGACCCTGAGAGGGAAAGAAACAGGAACATGAATACAGTAAACTGGCAAATAGACCACAGATGAGGTCAAAGAAAGGTAATGTCTGTTTAAGGTGCTAGTTTTTCTCTGTTTGCCCCGGAAACACTAAACCACTCTGCTCTGCAGTGTACCCCAGATCCCCTTGTAGGCCAGAACCGATCTGGGAAGCTGCCATGGACCTTGGCAGCTTTCACTGTGCTTGTAGAACATTGACATTTTTGTTAGGGGTGACTAAGAGAGAAGATTTGCCTTGGTTAGAAATTAGTCAGATGGCATTTCCTTAGGCTTTGCTTTCATTTCTCAGTGAAAGGTTGAAATGCATGAAGCGTTGGTTTTCCTGTCAGATTATTTCATTAACGATCTGTAGTTATTGCATAATTTCCAGAAGCCTAGGGCAAGAGAACTTGATAATGAAGAATGCCCCCAAACACCAGGAGACGCCAGGCAGGCATTGACTGGGGGGCCTCAGGAGAGCTCATTACAAGTCCTGGATCTTGACTTTCTCACTTGTAAAACAAAAGGTTTTGACCAGGTGAGCTCTGGTTCCCATTCCGATGCCAAGAATCTTTAAGGCTTCCAAGGCCATTCAGGAATTGTCATTTCTCTCTTGCTCTGTGACTGGCCTTGAGAAGTGAATCATAACAAGAAGGACTTCATTCCTGTCATCACAGAGCTTCCAGTCTTGTAGGGAGCACCAGAAAACATAGGTTAAAGGTTATTGTGAGTGTAGTGAAGGAAATGATGAGGTATTGGATTACATGTGAGAGGGAATTACATGACAGGGGCCGGGGGAGGGTCCTCAGTTTAGACCCAGGATCAGGAGCAGCTTCCTTAGGAGGGGGCTTCGAAGCTGAGACTTAAAGCCATCAATTAAAAAAATCATAATAAGGCTTGAGCCTTCCAGGCAGGGGGAACAGAACGTATAAGAGGCTGAGGTGGAGAAGAGGTTGGTCAGTTTGAAAACCTGAAAGGGGACAAGTGTGCCCAGAACACAGTGAGTGAGGAGACAGAAGGGGGTGTACACGATGAGGTGAAAAAGAGAGGAAGCATCAACGGTCCAAATCTAGGTTTCAGTATCACTCTAAGGGTGATCATTAATTAGGCAGAAAGGTAACACAGTTTGATGTTCCATTTTTCTGATGGCTGTTTGGGGAACAACCTGACTGGGGCCGGTGCAGAAGCAGGCAGATAATTTAGGAGGCCATGGGAGTAGACCTGGTAAAAGGTAATGGTGGTCGGGGTGAGGGAGCGAGACGTAGACGACTGATATTAATATTTTGGAGAAGGCGTTGAGCGACCTCTTGATGGATTAGTATTTGGGTAATCACTTATGAGGGGCGCCACTGAGTCGGGAGGGGTAGGATGAGTGTACCAAAGCAAAGACGACCTGGTCCCAGGTCCAGACCCTTAGGAAGTCACAGTTCACATTACTGTCAGCGAGTGTAGGTGAGCAAGTTATGATAGCGATGATATGTTCTTTTGCTTTCACAACACAGAAGGAGAGAGGCATCCACGACAGAGGAGGAATAAAAAGAGGTGTGGCAAAGGGGTAGGGCTGTGAGCTGGGCCATGGAAGCAGGGTCTGGTTTAACAAGCAGACAAGGGAGAGAAATCATTCAGAGGAGCAAGAGTAGAACCAGTTGTGGTGTGAAGGCACATGCTGCGAATCAGGAACCTTGAGCAGCTCAGTCTAACTGAGGAAGACTGGAGCCAAAGCACAGTGTTAGGAAGACAAGGTTGGAAGTGTAAGCCGAGGTCAGATTCAGGCGGATCTGAAGACTTACGGAAGGTCTGCACTCCTGCAGAATTTCAGAGTGATAGTATTCATT